TTACAACATGAGTATGTAGCTCCGTAACAAAATTTAAATGTGTATACAAGAAAATGTTGGGTTTTTTTTGTTTAAACTTGGCAATTATCGTGGCTTTGAAAAATAGAAATTTCGTAAGCTTTTCTTTTGAATATCCTTTTACACATATTTTTCCTTTCATGTTTGTATACCTTAGATTTTCGAAAAGAAATATGTCTCGAAATTCAGCGTTTATTGCCTGATTCAGTAACGGGTAAAATAACGATTAGGCCACTCGACCATTCGACCAATACAAATTCGTCGAACTTGGGATATTGACAATTGAGCCATAGCATGGAGCTAAAATAACATTTTCGACTTTCATATAATTTTGAAAAGTGCCGTTCGGCTAAAGAATTCAGTGTGCCCTGGATAGCCGTACATGTATGTGTACGTGACTAGAACTAGCCGTATGGGCCCGTACGACCAGCAACTTGGAAAAAATGTAATTTTGTGAATGCAAGCGGTACTAATATTGGGGAAACTGTAGACTCCTTATAAATTTTCTAAGACAACTTTTACGCATATCAAGAGTATATACACAAGTACCCTGGAATAGAATTGTTGAATGTCGGTCATCCATCTTATGTCAACTGTAGTCTGTCCACATTTAGCATCGTCGGAAACCCACGGCCGAACCATTTACATTTGTCATGTTACATGTTAATCAACCGTGCGTATCCGACAATGACATTTAGTTGTTAACACACTACTGGTCGTTTAGTTTGTTAGCACACTACTGGGCACACTTTTGCCCCAATTGTCTCAAAACTTGGTTTGAACATGGATATCTTGGTTGATAATCAGAAGTAGGTCACAGTAGCCAAAAATACAAAAATGTTTTAGCTCAATATTGGGTATGGCTTATCTAGAGTTAAAAAGTTGGTCACATAGCCTGATTATGGAAAACAAACCTTGTTAACTTTCTGTCCAATATAAATGAATTTGTTGGAAAGGTGGTATATGCAGACTATATGTAACAATTATTGAATAATGAAAATAATAAAGTACATCTGAAATTGATTTGATTATATATTTCATTTTCATTAATAAACGATAAAGTAATTCATTTGAAAATTAACGTGTAGAGATGAATACAACACACCAGAATATATATATATTAATGCATCAAAGTCCAGTTCATAGATCTGTAACAGGGAAAGCTTTACAAAAGGATGTACTATGATTTGGTAATTAAGTCTTGTATCCTGATTCAATTAATTGACTTTGTATAGAGTTCAAGCCAGGCCATGTCCTTGATTAGATAGCATCACTAAAGACTCAATATTAAACTGTTTCATTTTTTTATACTGCAGTCCATTAACGGGTGTTTCACAAACTGATTTCTTTATTGCTCATCTATCAGCTTTCCTAGCAATATACAGTTGGAACATCACATCTGCCTTGTCTCATTTATAACTTTGGAAGAAATAAGCCTTAGATTGAGTCACTTTTTAGTGACTTGACCTTAGTCAGAAGATGACCCCTATTGATTTTGAGGTCAGTGGGTTAAAATCAACATGGCTTTGATGACAAAAATGGATCATATTATCAATCAATGTATTCCTCAGTGCTTTCAGTGCTTTGATTAACTAAAGGTAAAAGTCTTTGACAGCAAGTTCTAACAGCATTATCAACTGTCTTTCCCTTTTAAGCATTATGAGATTCAGAAATGAAAAAATATTTCAAAACTATACGCATGAGTAATTACAAAGATTAGACGGGTACAAATATATAGCAGCAAACAGAAATCGACATTAACTTTTGAGAAAAAAGAAATAACAAATTTACAATCAATTTCATTATTATTAAACGAAACATTTTCCTGCATTTGCAGAACATGTATGTGATGATTTGCATGGCTGTTCAAAATTCGCAATATAAAAAGAAAATTTGAGTTATGCGGTACAATTGACGACAATCTGATTGTATATCCTTTTTCCTTATCTTATCCATGTATCCGCGAAAAATATATTGAATATTTGACATACGTGGATAGTCTCTGCATAAAAGTAAGAACATGTATTAAGACTTAAAGTATTTCATAAATCAACATGTTCAGAGTATCAATTAAAAGCAAATAAAGTTCAATATACAGTTATGACGCTCTTAAATTATTATTCTTTTACTTTATTTTATTTTTTTTCTGTTGTAAAAAGAAACAAGTTGTAAAAGTAGTCTTTCCATAAAAGTATGCGAGGACAATTTTTTAATTTTCTGGATACCGGACGTTAAGGGAGAGACATCCTCAAACTGTGTTTATAAAATTTTTGACTTGATTGATATCAAAATGAACATTTAAATGCTAAGAAGTCAATTACAACGTGCTCATAGAATCGCCAAGTACAATTCAAATAAAATAAGTTCCGTTGTCGGAATTATAATCTTACATTATAAAACAGACACAGATTTAAAATGTGAAAGTCGTAATAGGCATAAGTATAAATTGAATTCATACTTATCTTTTTATTAAGATTTTATTTAGTTTAATATTGTATCGATCTTTGTTTACAGTTTAATAATATTATTTTCACATAACAACAATTTTTGTATACATTGCTTGTTCAGGGCTGTGTTAATATTTCTGAAAACATTGCAATAGTTCCGATGAGTAAAACTATTTTCGTGTGTACAAATTGAGTCCGCAGCTAAATATTGTCAAAATAAGCTTTTCTTCACGGGCGTTACAGGTTTATCCACTTCCGGATAAAAACCGCTATAGAAACTAGTTCTTCATTCTGCAGTATTGTTACATTCCAGCTACACATCATTAAAATATTGTTTGCAAAGTTGTTTAAATGCTTTGAAAGTCCCAAATCGTTATTTTCATGTAATAATACCTTCCTTCATAGAAAGCAAAAAATAACAGTTCATTGATAAAATCGTAGAATATACATACACGTTAAACTTCGCATACACGCATGCACATCCATTCGACCAATACAAATTCGTCGAACTTGGGATATTGACAATTAAGCCAGAGCATCGAGCTAAAATAACATATGCATTTTCGACTTTCATATAATTTTGAAGAGTGCCGTTCGGCTAAAGAATTCAGTGTGTCCTAGATAGCCGTACATGTACGTGACTAGAACTAGCCGTATGGGCCCGTACGACCAGCAACTTGGAAAAAATGTAATTTTGTGAATGCAAGCGGTACTAATATTGGGGAAACTGTAGACTCCTTATAAATTTTCTAAGACAACTTTTACGCATATCAAGAGTATATACACAAGTACCCTGGAATAGAATTGTTGAATGTCGGTCATCCATCTTATGTCAACTGTGGTCTGTCCACATTTAGCATAGTCGGAAACCCACGGCCGAACCATTTACATTTATCAGTTATGTCATGTTACATGTTAATCAACCGTGCGTATCCAACAATGACATTTAGTTTTTAACACACTACTGGTCGTTTAGTTTGTTAACACACTACTGGTAACACTTTTGCCCCAATTGTCTCAAAACTTGGTTTGAACATGGATATCTTGGTTGAAAATCAGAAGTAGGTCACAGTAGCCAAAAATACAAAAATGTTTTAGCTCAATATTGGGTATGGCTTATCTAGAGTTAAGAAGTTGGTTACATAGCCTGATTATGGAAAACAAACCTTGTTAACTTTCTGTCCAATATAAATGAATTTGTTGGAAAGGTGGTATATACAGACTATATGTAACAATTATTGAATAATGAAAATAATAAAGTACATCTGAAATTGATTTGATTATATATTTCATTTTCATTAATAAACGATAAAGTAATTCATTTGAAAATTAACGTGTAGAGATGAATACAACACACCAGAATATATATATTAATGCATCAAAGTCCTGTTCATAGATCTGTAACAGGGAAAGCTTTACAAAAGGATGTACTATGATTTGGTAATTAAATCTTGTATCCTGATTCAATTAATTGACTTTGTATAGAGTTCAAGCCAGGCCATGTCCTTGATTAGATAGCATCACTAAAGACTCAATATTAAACTGTTTCATTTTTTTATACTGCAGTCCATTAACGGGTGTTTCACAAACTGATTTCTTTATTGCTCATCTATCAGCTTTCCTAGCAATATACAGTTGGAACATCACATCTGCCTTGTCTCATTTATAACTTTGGAAGAAATAAGCCTTAGATTGAGTCACTTTTTAGTGACTTGACCTTAGTCAGAAGATGACCCCTATTGATTTTGAGGTCAGTGGGTTAAAATCAACATGGCTTTGATGACAAAAATGGATCATATTATCAATCAATGTATTCCTCAGTGCTTTCAGTGCTTTGATTAACTAAAGGTAAAAGTCTTTGACAGCAAGTTCTAACAGCATTATCAACTGTCTTTCCCTTTTAAGCATTATGAGATTCAGAAATGAAAAAATATTTCAAAACTATACGCATGAGTAATTACAAAGATTAGACGGGTACAAATATATAGCAGCAAACAGAAATCGACATAAACTTTTGAGAAAAAAGAATTTTACAATCAATTTCATTATTATTAAACGAAACATTTTCCTGCATTTGCAGAACATGTATGTGATGATTTGCATGGCTGTTCAAAATTCGCAATATAAAAAGAAAATTTAAGTTTTGCGGTACAATCGACGACAATTTGATTGTATATCCTTTCCTTATCTTATCCATGTATCCGCGAAAAATATATATTGAATATTTGACATAAGTGGATAGTCTCTGCATAAAAGTAAGTATTAAGACTTAAAGTATTTAATAAATCAACATGTTCAGAGTATCAATTAAAAGCAAATAAAGTTCAATAAACAGTTATGACGCTTTTAAATTAATTTGTTTTTCTGTTGTAAAAATCAAACAAGTTGTAAAAGTAGTTTTTCCATAAAAGTATGCGGGGACAATTTTTTAATTTTCTGGATACCGGACGTTAAGGGAGATCCCTCCTCAAACTGTTTTGATAAAATTTTTGACTTGATTGAAAACAAAATGAACATTTAAATGCTAAAAAGTCAATTACAACATGCTCATAGAATCGGCAAGTACAATTCAAATAAAATAAGTTCCGTTGTCGCAAATTTTGCCTGCAATCCCAAAAAGACGTTGGTGCGTGCAAACGCGAGTAAGCTGACAAATATAATTTATGTCAACAATACCCGAAAGAAGTTGTAGAGACCAGTAGCACCTCGTCCCGATTATGCTGATGGCGCGCTGTCTAGACAAGGAATCGTTCATACTTGTCGACAAGCTTTATTTAAACGGGAAGGCAAAAGTGGCACTACTCGTATTTAGGGATATAATAGGAGTAATATAAAGTGTTTATTTCGGAATTTTGAGGGATTAACCCGACAGAAAATAGCATACCCAGATTTTATAAAATTCATTGATAAGTATGATTAGATTTTTTTAAATGAAACATGGACAAGTAAAATTCTAAAATAAACTTAAATGATTACAGACAGTTTCATACGGTGACACAGAGGTGAATTATGTGTGTGTGTTTTTGTGAGCGTGTGTGTGTGCGTGTGTGTGTGTGTTTATTTATATCGTGCGCACGATATACTTTGTCGTGGTCATGAGTTCCTAAGTCGTGCCCACGAGATAATTAAGAGGTGCGCACGAGATACTATGTCGTGGCCACGAGTTACTACATCGTGCACACGTATAATTCAGTCGTGGGCACGAGATACTATGTCGTGGGTACCTGTGATCTAATCTCAAGCATTGATAAAATAAAATTATTCACGCTTATAAGATCAAACGGATTTTTCAGTGGACTAGTATTTACCACATGCAACGAATGATCAAGGATACAAAAAGCATTAGATATCCGTTATTAGTATAGATGCTAATACCAATCAATGTACATGCTATACACATAATGGAGAAATTCTTTTTGTTTTACTGATTGATGTATTTTTGTATATGTACAGGATTTTACGCTGTTTCCCCATCACGCGCCTGTAACATTTGTACGTGCGAAAAGCGTATCACGTGACAAGAAAAACTACGATCCTGTTATCCATAAGTGGAACCCTCAGTATAAAAACGAATTCTTGAATGAAATTTCAAACGATGTAGATGAATTATGTACTGCCTTAAAAGCTTATAAAGACAAAGGCAGAAGTACGGAGTCTTCGATCAATTATGTATCTGAATTTATTACTAGCAGAGGAAAGTATTTTGAAATACATCGTTATATACCTAAAAAAACATTTGTTGATGAAATTCATTCTATGCTTTATCTACATGATTTAATGATTTAGGTAGGAGTAAAAAAGAAAGCTGTAAAGAAGCGTTTTTACAATTCAATAAAGCAATACATTCTAAAAAGAAACATTTTTTTTTGTATAGTAAGAAAAAATATAAATGCTGATTTAAAAAGACTAAACAAAAATACTTAAAAAAGTATGTCATTAAAATGTAGGAAATAATATAGAAAAGAAAGTATAAGCATAAGCATAATGTCAGTAAAAGGATACAGAGGTTCTGGTCAGTTATGTGTGACGTAGATGCGGTTATAACTTCAGTATAATTATTTACTTGCATAAATATTTTATACTACATGCAAAAAAACTGTAGAGCCTAATTAACAAAATGTTTCATGATATATCGGATTATTAATATTATATAATTATTCTTTTCAGAAATTCAGGAAAGTCTTTGCATCAAATTAGTGATTAAACAGTTGTGTACTCTGTGGCATTGTCTTTTTATTGACAAATTAATGTTTCTCGCGTTCTAGTATTTCTTCTTAATACTTATCAGGTCCTATTATTATCTAAATCTATCAATATTTTTCGTGACAAAAGTTTCTATGCACAAATAATACCATACTCATAAAATGTACTTGTTTATAGAAACCGGTGTATACATACTCGAACCCCGTAGTATTTTGAAAATATGTATCTCTGAGATTAACATCTTTGCATCCTTCAGTACATGTTTACAGGTTTTCTGTCACATATCTGACATATTTCAGGTTTCGCCCCGGGAACTTTGCATACACACATTTTAAACTAGTATCCGTCTGCATATCCACATGTTCGTTTATTGTCCCTTACTGTACACAATGAATGGCAAACTCAACTGCATTTTGATAAAATAATGTCACAATTGCAATGTAGACAAATATTTTCATTTTGCCCTTGAGCATTTGAGTCTTTGTTTTCTACTTAAGGGCGCAAGGACGTTAACTCGCACTTTCAGTTCCATAAATAGGCTCGTTGCCGTTTTTCTTCAGGGAATCAGTTTTCATTACCATCAAATATATAGAGATGAAAACTATCGTTGCATAATTAGCATGTTCTGACATCCGAACAATGATTGCAATTTGACGAACAACTTTATATACCGTTTTTAACCGCTTTTAAATTGATAATACCCAGATATACAACCTTGCAAGCAATAACGTAAATATAAGCATATAGAAACCAGGTTTCGACGGGATCCTCTATATATATACCATTTGGACAATTATTATCACAGGTTAAAGTTCAACTTGCATGAATACTTAATCGTTCTGTTTAGATGAAATACAGTTTTTGAAGCAATGTTTACAATCCAAATAAGGCAATGAACAAACACTATTTGATAATAAGTAAGATGATCATAACTTAAACATGTTGAACATGTGATCAAGATTTGCAGCCAATTAAAATATTCCTAACGTCAATTACACAAATTTTAATAAAAATACATTTAAGTGATATGTTTTAAAAGATACTCTTATAGCTGTTGTAACTCTTATTTTCTTACAGTAAAGATATCAATATGACCAAATGTGAAACAATTGACGTTCAGCCAATTGTTAGCATTATAAATTTCGTAATTTGATATAAAATATTTAAAGATGCATTCAATGTATAAGAATTGTCCAAATTTTATCAATCTAATTTGTAGGTAAACAGAATAAATTGATTGGGGACTATCATGCAGAAGTATTTACGATAAAATACTTTATCAACAAACACTTTTAGTATAAATTATATAGTTTTGAAGAACAATGTTATACATGTTATATGCACACATTATAATAAAAAATAATGTAAAATGTGCTGTTATTAGATATAAGTATAAATTTCATATTGTAAATACAGGATTAAAATATTCGAGAAAAAACGTTTATGAAGAATAACAAGGTACAATAATTTTGAAAAACACATTAGTCGTATTTTACATGTTAAAAAATTGCTAGAAGGAAATAGGGTTTCATTCCCTAATACAACTAGCTTTTTATGAATATTAGACGTTTTAAAATTGATTATATAAGGATAGTTATAATATGCATCAATCAACCCAGGAACAACAAGTACAGTAATAGTTCATTCTGTTTCTTTCACTAGTAAACAACTTAAACTAATTTCCATTACGTCTATGACAATGTTGTTCCGAGTTCTGAAAATAAACAAATAAATAGATAGAAAAGTAAACAAATAAATAAGTAAATAAATACATAAAAAATAAGTCACATTACATAATATAACATAAATTAATTAATGAACTAATTATTTAATTAAAAAATAATCATTATAAATAAATAATAATTATTAACAAAAATAATGACATGAAATACCTAAAATTACCATAATTCTAGGTAAATCAAGTAAACACATTACAATTACCATTGTATACATTATCCGTGGTTCTGTTATTACTCAAACTCTCGTAATTATTAGTCACTTCAGCTGACTCAGTATTAACAGCGCCGAAATCAGTTTTAGTGTTATAGTATGTTGGATTCTCAATGTTTGGTATGTTGTCTTGGGGTGTTTTACGTGCAAGATACCTGTGTTAAAGCGTAGAATTTATAAAAGCATTATACAAGTAAATTTTTCGTAATAGGTAACAACCGACAAAATGAACTTGAAAATACAAACATGTCAATACGATAATAAACAAAAGGCGACAATAACACCATGATTGATTCATTATTATCAAAATTATTATTATTACTATTTCTCTCATCTGTAAATAGAATTTGTTTTACATTAATAACAAACATCTTGTAAAGTATTTAATTAGAGAATACATTAACCTTTGTCTAATAAGGTAAAACAATACAGCAAATACTACTATGGCAGCACAAGAGCCGAATCCAGAGATATAACAACCAATGCTAAAAATAGTATCGTCACGTTGGACAAATGATTGTTGTTGTGTTACAGTTTCGGCTGACGTTATTGTCGTCACTGATCTTTCTGTAGATGTAACATTGACGTGTATTAAATACTACCATTACAATGTTCTAATATTCTTGTCATAAACGGCACAAACAGTCGTCTAAGATCAGACCAAATTTGTTTTAGATCAACCGGATTTAGCTCGAGACTCGTAATCCCGACAATGAAGGGTCGATTCCAGAGCTTGCCAACTAAAATTACTAAAACAGTCTTTCGGATCAAAATATTTTAAATCCAAACGAAATACGAAACAATGAGGGAAATAATCACTATATATCTTTGTTAACTATGAATATAGTTCAGTGAGAATAAGTTAGTATTATATGCGCATTATATCTTATTGTTACTTTAAACGAGTTAAACGTTCAAACGTATAAACTAATACGTGTGCACGTAATAGTTACCAACGTCCAAAGTGTAATAACACATGTAAACGAGGTAAATAAAGTACTTCTAATATGCCTTTTATGCAACCATACGTAGGGACGAATGTTTATAGATGTTCAATTGCTATAATTATAATTTAATTTAATTCATAGGAATAAGTTATTAATTTATAAGTTTGTAACAAGTTCCTAGCAGTTATCATATGCGCATTGTTTACCGATTGTGAGAGCTTGAGTACAGTTATCCCCAGTCACTCCATCATCACAGCCATCTGTACATGTACCGTTGTTCCTATCACATTTAAGATCCTTACATCCACCAGGACAAGGTTGCTCACAGGTATCGCCCCAAAATGTTTCATAACATCCGTTTTAACAATATCCGCCGGTATGTGCACATGTATGTTTACCACTTTGTACAGTGCATGCCGGGTTGCAGGCTAAACTGCAATCGGTTGAGTAAAAATTACCAACACACAGTAGACAAATATTTCCGTTATCCTTTGAGCACTATAAACATTGACTATTACATCTTGCTGAACATTTTTCACCAGTCCAGCCGTCATTACATTCTCCTTGACATATTCCAGTACTATCACAAGACGTAGAACATTCTTGTGAGCACAATGATGTGTGTGATACGCATGTTTTACCATTGAATATTTGTCCTTCTGGACAATCAGCACATACTAACGAATCGTTGTGTATTTGACACTGATTACAACCTTGAATAACACAGTCTGGACATTGCGTTTCTTGCAAACATGGCACACAGTGAACATAGTTGCTAAACTAATAGAGGTGGAAACCATCGTTGCAAATATTACACGTGGTCCCATCCGTACAATGTTTACAATTTGTAGGACAATGTTGGCATATTGTTTCGAGATCGCTTGTATACTCTAAATATCCATCTCTACAACCACTCGAGCAAATATGTAAATCGCAACGTTCATTTTTACAAAAACTACAATTGTGTTGACAACCAAGTCCATAGAAACCAGGTTTACATTGCGTACAATATCCCGTATCATCAGCGCATTCACTGTTTAGACAATTACCATCACAGCTGAAAATACATCTTGCGTGCAAACCAAAATAAGTTGGCTTACATAAAGTACAATCATCCCAGCTGTTACAACTTTCACAATTTTCGGGACAAGGTGAACAGATGCCATTTATCAAAAAGAAAGATGATTCACAACTTGTGCAAGTTGAACCAGAGCATGATTGGCAGCCAACTGAACATTCTGTAAATATTTATAGTTTTGCATGTGTACATATTTTTTATTTAATTTATTTCAAAATATTCAATGTAAATCATAAATATGCTTAATGAGAATTTATTAGAAATACTTAGTACACAGACCGCATAAAAACTAAAATGTCAATATTTCTCCGGAACTGAATTGAAACATTAGCACATCAGTTCCTTATAATATTATTTAGTCACGCTAAAGAAGTCAAAACAAACCTATTTTAACTGAAATTCTCCCAGTTTTGTTCTAACAGTACACATTTTGTTGCAGTAAAAAAACTTACCTGCAAATACCATATCAACAAACAGTACTAGTACTAATGCTGACGTTTCCTGAGACAACATGTTTTCATATTCATAAATGCACTGCGAGCTAAAAATAAGAAAAATAAACATTTCGATAATTATATGGCCTACAAAGGGATTTTTTTTCCATTTGTGCCTGTTATAAGTAAGCAAAACTAAACGGAATTGCCCTTTTGATTACCTTTCACATTCTGGTTATTCTTTAGCTTAAACATGGAGTGTAACTAATAAAAAATGTTTTTCATATTTGGATCATTATATGCATTACAGTAAATCAGTTTTCAGACAGTTCGAATGTGTAATATAGAATATTTATGCACTTTTAAGCTGAAACAAAAAAGTAGAGGGAAATTATATATCAGTTATTAGTGATATATGTGTAATTATTTTCTTACATTCTTGATATCCTATTTTCCTGTTTGAGAAAACGAACGAAATGAAGAAATTTCACTTAACTTTTCCTTTATTACGGATATATAACTACACGATTTATCATTGCAAACATTTGTTCCAAACTTCCTCTTTATAAGCATTGTATAAAGATTTGAATAGTTACAGTATGCATCAGTGACTCCCTATATAGCAATTGTAAGCGCTATTTTAGACGCAAAAAATAGACGAATTGATAGATAGGTAATAGACACTAATTTAAAAACGTATACGAAAGGACAAGAACGCTGTAATTCCTTGCAAAAATAAGTATAAATATAAATCATACCTATGCAACAATGTTTTACCTGATGTATATTCAAGCATTAAGTACTTAAGCTGTATTACGTAACGTTTTTGTAAAGTTAAAATGGCAAAGTTGTTAAGTGTAAATCGTGAGGTCGTTAAGATGGAGTTGTTGTTTTTTATTACACTAGCATTGACAAATATTTCAATTTTACAGTCCCGTTGATTACACTCCTTCACAAAACAATTTAATACATAAATGTTCACTTGTAGTTCAATGACAATGTTCAGTGCAATATAGAACGGACAAAAATAAAACATTAGTTTGACTGAATAATCTTCATTTGAGATTTATTGGCAAGTTTTCTGAAGTTTCGACTTACTTGCCCATTTCTATTCAAAACGAAATTGCAAAGGAATATATGTGGAAATAATAAAAATATTCAGTTAAACTGTAGGGACGGTCGGGAAGATTGAGTTATTTCTTTACCAATGAATTTCTACATATTTTGTATCATATACAGAACCTGCAATGTAAAATGTATCGCAACTTCTCAGCAGTTTTCTTTAGAGCAAAGTGGTATTACATAAAAAGGCGGCCGTCGGATATATCAAAAAGCCCTGGCGCACAATTTGTTGAATATATTTATGTACGCTAAGACGGCATTGAGAACGCTTGATGTCAAATAAAATGTGTCAGGTTGTATTTGAATTTTAAGGGTTTGCATAAAAGATGCATAATAAATGAATTAGTACTTAGAATATGTAGAAAGAACAAGTTAAACAATGGGGTTTACAGAAATGTCTTAACAAGTGCGTGTGATTTATAATACTATGAATTCGATAGTAACTTAAAAAATAGAAATAACAGTTGCTAACTAGGATTTCTTCAGTTGCTCACAAGGATTTCTTGTTTCAAAAGATAAGTAAATACCCAAAATCTGCTCCATATTTTCTGTATAAGGATTTGCTAGTCGTCATATTTTATACTTTACAAAGTGACAATGAAAATGGAACTTTACGAGGACTGACTGCTCTTAATAGCAGCGTAAACAGTAAAAAGCAGAACGATTTATAATTAAGTGCATAATTTAATATAAATAATTTAACTAACATTAAAGGCCCATTAAGCCTCCAAAATGCTTTCATTTAGGCGTACCGAATATCAAACATAAAAACAACCACGAAATATATATTAAAAGAAAGACGATTTCAATATGCTTGCAAGTTCGTCATTCTCGTGGATGAACTTGAAAAGAAAAACAGTTTCATGAAAATAGTTTAGATTTAGTTGGATATATAATGTCTCAAACACCTTGAGCGCTTATTTATTTCTTTCACTTTGATTTACTTTAATATATTGGTTCACTTAATGTTAACAGTGCGCAGTTTTTATAATATAATTGCACAATCAATTCTGCGTTACTTTTGTACAATATTTAAATTTCAACGTTACAAGGCGTACACGGTAATTTTGAAAAAGTGAAATTATTGTGTAATTCGGCTTGATGTACCGAATGTACAACATAGCAATGATACTTGGTGGAGCTTAAAAGCAAAGCTGCGTACAGTGTATACAGCAATAATGCTTCATGATTAAAAGTAAGTATTACCATTAAGTTCGATTTAAATGGATAAAATGTTGATGGAAATTATATCTAAAAAGAAACAAATTTTAACTGACTTGCGTGTAGATATTAAATTGTTAAAATGATGATTTTAGCCGATGTCTCGTTGTGTGCTTTTCCGAACTTTCAGTCAACATAAAGGGTTAAAACTTTAGGTTTGATTTGGAAATCTGTGGTTAAAATTTTTATTACGACCAATAAGTTCTAAAGGGTCATGAAAGACTTTACACTTATTACAATGAAACATTTCTTTCTTTCTAAATATGATTCAGATTTAAACAAACAGCACAACCGTTTCTGACTTACGTTACTGATAATAATTCTGTTTTTATAATAATTATTGTTTTCTATGTATCTGTAGAAATACTGAATTTTAATATAGTTGCATAACGCTAATTGAGTTCTAAAACATGTAACATTGAAATAAATTATGTTTTTATATTAACAATGCATTGTTTAAAATACTCCGTTGAAAACATATTACAAGTAACAATAACAAACTTTCTTAACCTAACCAATCTGATAATTCAGTGTGTGTTTTGTGAAATAAGGCATAACGATAGCAAATGAATTGGTTTTGTTATTAATAAAACAACGATTATTTTAGATGATACAATTAAACAGTCACCTGTATGCAACTAATCTAAATGTTAGAGTTTCTGCATTATAAACTAGTATTTAAGTTTGATATATGTCACCCTTACAAAGCTGGAACAATAAATGCATTTGTTCTAGTGAATAGGTATGACCCGTTTCATTATTATTAATACCGAAATAATTATATCGTTTATTTATCAGCGAAATGAGTAATGTTTACAAGATTATAACATAAGTTGTTTGATGAAAAACTGCCAATGTAATGTGATTTTACACAGATGAAACATTTTGATATATTGCTGGCTACCTAATTCTTTTAAATAATGCAGTTACATTTACATTTATTTCTGTGTTGTTGAACTAATCAAACTATAGATTGATCATAAAATAGTTCAATAAGAATGTTTGCCATGAAATCATTAACCTTTTTCTAAATATAAAATTGAAATATTCACAGAACAAGAGAGATCAATGATCGCATGTGTGTCTGACGGCAGCAAATGCAGCAGTCGTATTGAGGGGTGGTCCGACAATATGTCGTCTATATGTCACGACCTCTTTGTAGCATGTTGCAGCTTCTGTGTAGCACAAGACAAAAATACGTTAACAGGCCAAAAGCTTTTTATTCAATGGTCATAACTCATTAATTCTGCAGCACTAATATGTATCTCTTATCCGTTATGTACACAGGTTTGAACATCCTTTCCTGTATCTCAACCGTTATAGAAGGCAATTCATGATATTTTATCGTTGCCGATTTTAAGAGTACACAGACATTGGCAATTAACAATACCTTGACGCAATCTTTGAATATTCCTGCAATGTTTGCTTCCAGGAAATGTTTTTCATCCGTATCAATATCAACAAATTTATTTTACTTAACACTTACGATAAACATGAAGGAGAAGTCAGCATGTGAATAAGCTAAAATGGACATGAAAGGCTTATAGTGTTAACGCACAAAAGCACAATACTGCAACTTCGTTGTCGTAAGCTTATGTTTGCGATTTAGAATAAAGCGTTGTTTTTTTGTCACCACAATAAAATGTGTATTGAAAATTAAAAGTTACAACAGATACAGTCTCTAAAACCCATTAATCTTACGTCTAGGTTGTTCTTAGATCTGAAAATAAATGAATAACAAAATTAATAATAATAAACAAGTAATAATTATGACAACAATGAAATCAAAGTCTTACACTGATCATAACTTAAATCAAATAAAACATTTATCATGCAACTGCTATGGTAACTGCCTGATAACACTTGCCTGATAATTATTTTTGACATCAGGTTAATAGCCCATTTCAATTGACTTGTTTCAATATATTCTTTTTATCAGCCTTTGAATTCTACAATTTTATCTCAATTTTCTCGAATTAAGATGTGATATTTATTATTTCGTTTTCAATAAGAACAAATTAGATAGCGAATAGTTAAGCACCAACATAATGAAGTGACATCATAATTTATTTCTCAAATGACATCATTGATCTTTACGTCATAATATTATAAACAGGACGACTTTCTTGGAGAACTTGTTAATGTTTAATTTGTTTCGCCAAATTGTTATTAAATAAATGAGCAAATTGTTTCGTTCAGAAAATAAGACACATGTTTGTATAGCTTGTGTTTGATTGCCAATTTGACTTTGATTGAAACTGAAATTATGGTGAACTTTTGAATTTGACATGTCAAGGAAAAAAGTACAGTAAAGTTTATGTGATTCATAAGGATATTTTCGGATCAATGTTTAATGGTAAGAATCTTATTTTATTCGATTTGTTGTATATATTATCAAAGGAAATAATCTCGTGTCCAAAGAAAAAAATGGCCGCCATTAACAAGTTTTCGGGGCAGATGAATTTGTTTTCAAGAACTATTTTTTTGAACTAAATATGCCCCAGTCTTCAAAAATTCGCTATTAAAAAGTAGATTATTTTTAAAATTTGATTGTTTTTATGTGTTACATGATAAAAGCCTCGCCCCTTTCTAGCCCATATCAGCCTCGCCTGATGAAATTGGCATCAAACGACAATAGCATGTTATTCTCAATATATCAATTACCAGTGTATACATTATCTGTTCCGGTATGATTAATCAAACTCTCGTAATTAATAGTCACATCAGCTGATTCTGCATTTCCAGCTCTGAAATCAGTTCTCGTGTTATAATATGTTGGAATCTCAACGTTACGTCTGTTATCTTGGGGAGTTTTACTTGCCAGATACCTGTATTAAATTATAAAAAATAAAATAGTATTGCATATTCTTACAATTATTTTAATTTGTTTTAAGAATAAGGTAAAAACGCAAACAAGTAACAACCGACATAGTACAAATATAACAATTAGATTATAATTAAATATCAAAAATAACATAATGTTTATTATCATTGTTATTTAAATTCACCAGTAAAGATAATTTGTTTTACATTTATAATACATGTACACATCTTGTATACTATTAAATTATGAATACATTCACCTTCGTCTATAAGGTAAAACAATACAGCAAATACTACTATGGCAGCACAAGATCCGAATCCAGAAAAATAACCAACGGTAAAATTACTATCTTTATCGTCACGTCGCAAAAGTGATTGTTGTTGTGTTTCAGTTTCGACTGATCTTGTTGCTGTTGTTGTTGCTGCTGCTGTTGTTGTTGTTGTTGTCACTAGTATTTCTGCAGATATAACATTACCTTGTAATAAAATTACACTAACAACGCTTTATTGATTACTGGAACAATTTTCTTGTCATAAACTGCACAAACAGTCGAGTGAGAGTTTGACTTGTATTTTTGACATTCAGGTTTGGTTTTCCGGGTTGCCCAAACAAAATTAACTAAGCAGTCTTTCGGATGAGAAATGAAATCAATCAAGGTGGCGTTTATGAGTACTTAAACACGTTAAAGAACATTGAGAAGCTTCTGCAATAAGGGCATCTTTCTGTGTCTGTATCTTGCACTATCCTCCGAATTCAAAATGACTAATAATCTTCTTGAGGACTCGCCGAAATGAGTAACCGGTAAAAATAAACTCTAACACACACAAAAGACTAAGAACAATCATTTAAATAACTACATTTGAAAGATTTAAAGTGGTAATTAGACCGTTAACAAGTATTTCCATTTTCTTTTGAGGACATCTTGCAACTGTCTAAACATGTTGATGAACATTTTGCGCCAGTCTAGTCATCAATACATTCTCCTTAACATATTATTGTGTAATACTAACTTATGCGCACATGACAGATAAAATATCTTCAGTATCCTTAAATACCACTATAACAAATTGCAAAAAGTAATGACCATCAAAAATCTATGTTAATGATGAGTTTGATTTAGTGTAATTTAGTTAGTATTATATGTGCATGTGTTAAGGTTTCCTTACACGAGTTAAAATCTTCGATGGTATAAACAACTACAAGAACACGTAATACTCGTAGTTACCAACTTCAAACTTGAAGGTAATTCTTACTCGTATAAACAAGACAAATAGTATTTCCAATATCACATTTAATGCCATATTAGAAAGGACATATAATTAAAAATATTTAATGTTTGTGTTAATTATGAATATATTTACTCAAAATGTCTCACTTATAAGTTTTTTTGATTTATTTAAAATGAATTCAAAACAGCAATCATATGCACCTTGTATAACGACTGTGGTGGTTTTAGAACATCTATCTCCTATTAGACCATCCTTACATCCACCCGTACATGTACCATTGTTTCTATCACATTTAAGATCTTTACATCCAACAGGACAGGGTGTATTACAGAGGTCGCCCCAATATGTTTGGTTGCATCCATTTAAACAATATCCCTCTGCATGTTCACATGTATGATGACCACTTTTTACTATGCATGATGGGTTGCAGGCTAAACTGCAATCCGTTGAGTAAAAATTACCTTTACACAGTAGACAACTATTCTCGTTCTCTTTTGTGCACTTTAAACATTTATTGTTACATTTTTCGGAACACTTTTCACCAGTCCAGCCCTCATTACATTCGCCTTGACATATTCCAGTACTGTCACAATTCGTAGAACATTCTTTAGAGCACAATGATGTGTGTGATCCGCATGTTGTACCATTGAATATTTGTCCTTCTGGACAATCAGCGCAGACTAACGATTCATTGTGTATTTGACATTGATTACAACCTTGAATAACACAGTCCGGACATTGCGTTTCTTGCTGACATGACACACAGAAAACGTTGTCATTAAACTTAAAGAGGTGAAAACCATTATTGCAAATACTACATGTGTTTCCATTTGTACAATGTTTACAATTTGACGGACATATTTGACATGTTGTTTTTCGACACGGGTTTTATACTCATAATATCCATCTCTACAACCAGTAACGCAGGTACGTAAATCACAACGTTCATTTCTACATAAACTACAATTGTGTTGACAAACAAGCCCATAGAAACCAGGCTTACATTGAAGACAATTTCCAGTATTATCTTGACAAGCATTATTAAGACAATTACCATAACAGTTGAAAGTACATCTTGCATGTAAACCATAATTATTTGGCTTACATAAAGTACAATCATCCCAGCTGTTACAGCTTTCACAGTTTTCGGGGCATTGTGAACAGAAGCCATTTGTTAAAAGTAAGATTCTTCACAGCTTGTGCAAGTTGATTGATTCAAAGCATGATCGGCAGCCAACAGAACATTCTGTAAATAATAAGTATTTGTATACTTATTTTTTTTTGGGTTAAAATATTTACTACAATTTATCGACTGCCCAATTATACAAATTTAAAAATACCCAAAAGGAATTTAAATAAAAATTTTTAAGTTTGGGATTAAAAAACCCAAATGTTTTTTTTCTCTGCATCAATTAATTTTCAAACCCAATTGTAAAGGGTTTTTCCAAATATTAAAAAAGGTTTAGAAAAAAATAAAAAAATATATATTTTACAGTTAAATTGTTTGATTTTTTGATGGGAAAGGGAAAAAACCAAAAAAAAATTTTTATTTAAATGCAGGTTTCCTTAGAAAATTTTTTGTTTAAATTTTTAAAAAACAATTAAGAAGGGAATGAAAAGGATTAAAAAACCATTTTTTGGCATTTAAAATTGGGTAATGAACTAGAACTACTTACCAGCAAATACCATATCAACAAACAGTAATAGTACTAATACTGAAGTTTCCTTAGGAAACATTATCCCGTATTTATTTATGAAATTAAATCTGAAACAGAATAGTAAACATATTGATAATGGTGTGATTAACTTATTGAACTTTGTTTAGATGTAAACGTTTGAGCATAAATAATACACGATGTTGCGTTTATTTATCTTTACTTTTTGGTTTAACTTAAAAGTCAAAATGACACTTATATTCTATCATTTGTCTTAGAAGAAATGAACAACTTTAAAATAAAACAGTTTTAGACATTTTGAGTACCCTGATATAGAGTGATAAGACAATTTAAAGCTTTAACAAAATCAGTGAGACTTATAAAATTATGAATTGTTAAAATGATACAGAGTCAAAATATTCTTTTACACAATACTGATATCTGCTTTTCCTGCTTCAGAAGGCAACATTTTTTTGATCATTTAACTTTTTTAAAACTAACAATAGTTGTGTGCTTACCTATCTGAGTAATCCTTTTTCAAAACTTCCTCATTAAATGCTGTGCATAAAATATAAAATTTTGAAAAGGTACATTATGCTTCAGTGACTCTCTATAAAGCGCTTCTAAGCGCTATTTTTAGACGCATATGTATTATAAAGCATTTATACGGGCGAAAACTCTGGGTCATTTAACTTCATAATTTTACGATTTCAATTACAATTTACGTCATCATAATATTTACTTAATAAATTATAACTTATAACGTCATGACTTTATTAAAATTCATTATAATTGTATCTTCTCGAATATTTCAAATATACAAATTAAATTCAAGAATTCATAAAGTTGAACCAATAAATAATGATTGAATTCAATTAACTGTGAAGCTAAAATTCATGTAGTTTAATTCGCAAACTCGTTAGGTTCGAATCGTGAAGTTCAAATGTGAATTCATGAAGTTGGAGACATTAACTTAAAGGTTTGTAGTTGTTTTTTAAAGTCGTAAATTTATTATTTCAATTTGTTAAAATGATGAAATTGTGAAATCATGAAGTTTAAATCGCCAGTTCGTTAAGTTGGGATAGTCTTTAGTTCATACATGTGGTATTATTTTAACAGGACCGATTGCTACAAAACAAAGAAATGATGTGTAACTGTATCGACATAAACTCAATTTGAAAAAAAGTTCTTTATCTAATTTTTCTCTTTTATGTCTGAATTAAACATTTTATTTACCAGATTTCGTGAGTCGCTTCATTTTAGAAAACTGATTTTACATTTTTATTGGCAGATATATATTTTGAAATGTTTTTTTTTTAACTTCTCGGCCTTTTTCCGTTACATTTCGGATAAGGACGTCGAACTACGCAGATAGGGTACTCGTATCTACGCTACAGAATTGAAAAATATTTACCAAATGGTTAGTTTTTGTTTTTTTGGAAAAAGCTAAGGGGTTTGACTATCCCCCGGGGCTAATTGCCTTTTCGTAAAAACTGTCTCATTCCGTTTTGACAGTGTAATTTTAGGGAAAGAAATGTATTGTTTATAGGGAATGGTTTAAACATTTCTCGAACCCGTAGTATCTTTTAAAAATTTTTATATTTTTGCAAGATACCTCATTGAAACCTTTTAAAAATATTCATTTGGTTTTCTGTCACTATTTCGGGACGGTTTTGATCAGGGCCTTTGTATCACCCCTTTAAAAATTTTTAAAAAAAACCGTGTTGTTTTACCATCCCCTTTTGTAAAGGATGGGGAAATTAAAAACTTCTTGTCCCGAACAAAAGGAGATCAAAATTTTTTTAAATTTCTTTAGCAGTTTATTCTTTGTTTTCTACATAAGGGGACAGTGGCAGTAACTCGCATTTTCAGTTCTACACATGAACGGGTTATTTGGCGTTCTTTTTCAGGGGATCCGTTTGCATTGCCATCGAATTAATAGAGATGAAAACCATCATTGCATAATTAACATATTCCGGCATTCGAGCACTGATTGCAATTTGACGAACCAATTTTATATACTGTTTTTAACCGGTTTGATACTGATAATACCCAGATCTGCAACCTTTCATATAAGCATATAGAAACCAGGCTTGAATTGATAACAATATACCGGATCCTCTATATATTTACTATTTAGACATTTATCATCAGTGGTAAAAGTTAAACTTATATGAATACCATATAATTTTTGTTTACATGAAATACAGTTATTTAAGCAATGTTAACAATCTATATAGCACAATGAACGAACACTTTTGATAAAAAGTAAGATGATCATAACTAAAAGATGATGAACATGTGATCAAGATTGAAAGCCAATAAAATATTTTTAACACCAATTATACAAACTTTAATCAAAATACATTTAAGTGATATGTTTTAAAATATACTATGATAGCAGGTTTTACTGCTATTGTTTTAGAATAAAGATATCGATACAACCAAATGTCATATTTGTATTTCAGCCGAATGTTAGCATTATATATTATTATTCCGTAATGTAATATAAAATCTGTAAAGATGCATTTTACGTTAAAGACTTGTCCACTTTTTATCACTCTTATTTGTAGGTAAACAGTCAAAATTGATTGGGTACTATTATGCAGAAGTATTTACGATCAAATCCTTTATTAACAAACACTGCTAGGATGACTGATACCGTTTTCAAGAACATTGTTATACATGTTAAAATCAAACATTTTAAAACAAATAATGTAAAATATGTACACAATAATAAGCTGTTATAAGATAAAAGTATACATTTTATATTGAAATTAAACTAAATTATGAAATATAAATTAGTTTTGTTTTTATATACTCAAAGTATATGTCACGCTTACTATGTTTCAATGATAAATCCTTTCTTAGATTAGTAAAATGGCATTGCCCATAGTATTGATATATTAATACACAGCCGTCAAACAAATCTAGGAAGACTGTAACCATAACATCTGTCTCAAAAATACCGAAATAATACTTTCTTGTATTGATCAGCGATCTTAATTAGTAACGTTTACAAAATTACACATTCTATATTTGAAAGAATTTATGAAGTGTGATTTAATAAAGATGAAAGAACTGAACATTTTGCTGGCTTCTTACTTTTACCATACTGTAGTAAAATTTACATATATGTGTTGTGAATTTAGCTTATCGATAAGAGTTATCACATGGGACGGTAGGTATGTCAAGCTTTTTGCAAATACAAGATTGAAATATTCAAGAAAAAATAATTTTGATAAACACTTTAGTCGTATTTTACATGTTAAAATATTGCTAGAAGGAAAAAGAGTTTCTTTCCTTAATACAACTAGCTTATCATTAATATGAGCCGTTTCAAAAATGATTATATAAGGATAATAATAATATGCATCAATGACCTTAGAAACAACAAATTCAGTATAACTGTAACAATTCATTCTGTTGTTTTCACTAGTAAATCACTAAAACTAATACAGTCTAAATGTTCATGTTGAAGTTTCAATAAGTAAGACTAATTTCTCTTACGTCTATGACAATGTTGTTTCTAGATCTGAAAATAAACAAATAAATAAATAGGCAAATAAATAAAACATAAATAAATGAATAAATAGATAAGTTAATAATAAGTTAAAAAAAATTATAATATTTTAAATTTAAATTAAAATTATTAAAATTTAAATTTTTAAAATAATTCATTAATTAAATTAAAATATTTTATTAAATTTTAACAAAATTAAAATTAAAATACTTAATTAATTAATTAGTTAGTTAATTAATGAATAAATCAATTCAAATGATTTAGTAACTAATTAAGTAATTAATTAATCATAATAAATAAATAATTATGAACAACAAAAATGGCATCAAGTACTTAAAATTGTCATAAGTCTAGGTAAATCAAGTAAACACATTTTAATTACCATTGTATACATTATCCATGGTCCTGTTATCACTCAAACTCTCGTAATTATTAGTCACATCGGCTGACTCAGCATGTACAGCTCCGAAATCAGTTCTAGTGTTATAATATGTTGGAATCTCAACGTTACGTCTGTTATCTTGGAGCATTTTACTTGCCAGATACCTGTATTTAAAGAATTATAGAATTTATAATATTATTAAGCATTTTTACGTATAATGTGTATTTTAAGTAATAGGTAAAATCCAAATAAGTAACAACCGACATAATTAACTTGATAGTACAAACACAACAATTAAATGATAATTAAATTGCGACAATAACATTATGCTTATTATCATTATTATATAAGTTCATTAAATAAGATAATTTGTTTTACATAAAGAAGAAAATCTTGTATAGTATTAATTTCGTGAATACATTCACCTTCTTCTAATTAGGTAAAATAATACAGCAAATACTACAATGGCAGCAAAAGATCCGAATCCAGAGAAATAACCAACGGTAAAATTACTATCTTTATTGTCATGATGCACAAATGTTTGTTGTTGTGATACAAATTCGGCTGACTTTGTTGTTGTTGTTGTTGTTGTTGTTGTTGTTGTTGTTGTTGTCACCGATGTTTCTGTAGATATAACATTGACGTGTAATAGATATTACCCTAACTTTAGTCTAATGATTACTGGAACAATAAGTTCGTCATTAAATGCAAAAACAGTCATCTATGTCAAGCCAGCTCGCAAAGCTTAATCTTTAAGAGCGCGAAATTTGTAATCTCAACATTGAGGGTCAGATTCCCGGGTCGGCCAACTAAAATGGCTTAAATAGTCTTTCGGATCAATATCTTTTAAATGCCAACGTAATATATTTTATGAATTTTATTCAGTGAGAATGAGTATTATTCGGCATTATATCATTTTGATACTTAACACGAGTTAAAACGTATAAACTACAACATGTGCACGTTATAGTTACCGATGTTCAAAGTAATTCTAACGCGTATAAACAAGGCCAAAATTTATTATTTAAATATCCCCTTTACGCCACCATAATAAGAGCAAATAATTATGAATAATTGATATTTATGGTAATTATGAATTTGATTTAAAACCATAGGAGTTACATATAAATTAATTATTTTGAAATGAATTCCTAGCAGTAATTATATGCACATTGTTTACCGATTGTGATAGTTTGAGTACATTTATCTCCAGTCAATCCATTCTTACATCCATCCGTACATGTACCGTTGTTTCTATCACATTTAAGATCTTTACATCCACCAGGACAAGGTTTCTCGCAGGTTTCGCCCCAAAAGGTTTGGTTACATCCGTTTGAACAATAGCCGTCTGCCTTGTCACATGTATGTTTACCACTTATTTCTAAGCATGCCGGATTGCAGGCTAAACTGCAATCGGTTGAGTAAAAATTACCTTTACACATTAAACAATTATTTCCGTCATCTGTTAAGCATTTTAAACATTTGCTGTTACATTTTTTGGAACATTTCTCACCAGTCCAACCCTCATTACATTCTCCTTGACATATTCCAGAACTATCACAATACGTTGAACATTCTTGTGAGCACAATAATATGTGTGATCCACATGTGTTACCATTGAATATTTGTCCTTCTGGACAATCAGCACATACTAACGAATTATTGTGTATTTGACACTCGTTACAACCTTGAATAATACAGTTCGGACATTGCGTTTCTTGCAAACATGAAACACAGTGAACGTTGTCATAAAACTTAAAGAGGTGAAAACCGTTATTGCAAATATTACATGTTTTTCCATTTGTGCAATGTTTACAATTTGATGGACAGGTTAGACATATTACTTCGACACCGGTTTTATACTCATAATATCCCTCTCTACAACCACTCAAACAGGTAAGTAAATCACAACGTTCGTTTTCACATACACTACAATTATGGTGACATTGGTGTCCATACAAACCAAGTTTACATTGTATACAAATTCCCGTATCATCTTGACATTCATTATTTAGACAATTACTTTCACAGGTGAAAGTACATCCTGAGTGTAAACCAAATTTGCTTGGTTTACATAAAGTACAGTCATCGTAGCTGTTACATGTTTCACAGTCTGGAGGACATGGTAAACAGAGACCATTTGTTAAATAGTAAGATGATTCGCAACTTGTGCATGTGGAGCCAGAGCATGATTTGCAGCCAACCTTACATTCTGCAAATATGAATATGTTTGGCAATTAACATATTCCTCTTATATACATGTATATTTCCACAATTACAATGAAAAGAACCACATATATGATAAGTCAGGTTTTTTATAAAAAAATATATAATTATTTAACTTAACCAAACAATAAAACAATTCATGAAATAAAAAATTAGGGTTAATAATAAAATGAAATTAAAATGTCAACTTTTTATCACTTTATAGATGCATTCACAAAAAAGCGTGTTTTAACAGAAATTCACACATTTGTATCCTTGAAGTACAAATTATCAATTGAAGTAAAATGTCTTACCAGTAAATACCATATCCACAATAAATAGTAGTATAAGTGCTGACGTTTCCTTAAGCAACATTATTCCGTATTTCTTTATGCAAATCTAAAAGTGAGAATTCTATATATAGATAATATTGTGATAAACTTAAAGGAATATCTATGTTATAGCATAACTAAACGATGCTGCTTAAATTCTTCTTCCCTTTGTTATATTATATATTTAGCTTAAAAACCAAAATGGTACTCAAGGTATGTATTTTGTATTAGCGAATTGTATTCATTACAACAAAATATGCTAGACATATCGATCGAAGGTGTCATACAGAGATTAAAAGGTACAATTTAACTTAAACAACAAAAAGCGATACTCATGATTATATTGAAAGAATTACTACAATGTCCGTTATTCCTGTTTAAAAAAGCAAAAATTAAGAAATTAAGAAATATCACTAATCATTCACAACAACACTGAAAAGATATAATATATAAATACCTTTCATAAATACCTGATAAATTGCTACCAGAACAGAACAGAACAATACTATATTATCTCAAATCAAAAGACATATGAGATTACAGAGTAAATGCAAATTTCAAAATACAACGGTTCAAAACTTCCTCTTTCTACTTTGTAATTTGAATAGGAATGGTATGCACCAGGGACTTCATTTTAAAGTTTAATGTTAGATATTCGGATTGATACGGTCCAAAAAGAACAAACTCGTATTTAATTCATGAACGCTATTATCTTCTTTGCAATTAGAAGAACAAATCGAAAATCATTAAAATTATGTAAAACATACTTACGAAAGTTGGTAACATTGAAAGTTCCAATATACACGAATTAATCTTCATGAATTCAAGATTTAAACTAAAAAATATTACGCTTTTTAATTGCATGAATCATGAATTTAACTTCATCATGAATTAAATTTTATACTTAAACTGTAAAAATTTAAAATGAAGTATTACGTGATAATACTTACAAGCAAATATTTATCAACAAACATTGCTAGTACAAATGTTGTCGTTTTTAAGAACATCACTATCCCATGGTTATACACATTATAATCTTACATTATAAAAGAAAGATAAAGATACAGATCTAAAATGTGAGATTAATTATAGGATGTTATCAGATATAACTATATATTGTATTCATACCTATCTTTTTGTTCAGTTTTTATTTAGTTTAATAAAATTTTATCACTCTTTGAATACAGTTTAAAAAAACATAACAACAATTTTAACTAAGGTCCATTTCTCAAGCCAATGTCAATATTTGCTAAACAGCGATCTCTAAATAATTAACATTTGAAACAAGTTTTTTGTTACAAATGATCCTTTATTTGAATTTCTTTCTTATTGCTGTATTTATGGAGCTATTTGTGTTTACTATTTTTCTGTCTATGGATCCGATTTTTATCAATTATTCATTTCGATTTACAGATAAAAATAAATTTGGATTCAAGAATTCCTTCCGATTTCTATTATATAAAGTCATATATTGGTTTCCCCTTCAGTGATTCGCAGCATGTCATATTTATGAATGAGAACGGAATTCAGCCGCTGGGAACATAAAAGACAAAGCAAAAAATAAACTTAAATTCGATAATTTATTTCTTACATTTGTATTTTCTACAAGAAATTACTTAATATTTTGTTGTACACAGTGGGTTATGTATTAACATGAATTCGAATATCAAGCTATAAAAAGATGACATAGCATAACATTATGGAAGTCCGAAAATCTAGTGATACTCGTAGAAGTAGTTGAAGTAACTAAACGAAATCGCGCTATGGTAATAAATAACGAACTGGAGAATTTTGCAGGAAATGAAATGCAAACATATTCAACAATAACTTGCACCCTTTATAGATTATAAATATTATATTTTTCATAATATCTTAATAACAGAAACTTTCGTCTGCAGTTTTAACATAAGGTGTCATTGGTTTATTGGTAGAAATGTAAACATACTGGTAGGCCAGACGAGGATTTTGAAGCAATTCAACAAAATAGTACATTGATCTCCAATAAATCAATTAATAATAGCCCTTTATTTATCACAAATGTCAAGTAGCTTTTATATATATCTTTGATTCCACGAACATAATGTAAGTTGCCCTCACCTGTCTAAAATTCAGGTAACAGTCTTCTATAATATTGATAAATAATGTTTCACCATATAAGGTGTATAACAAAAAGTCCTGAATTTGGCCTTTTTGAAATTCACCCAAAAATTTCATTGCAGTGTGAGTTCTTCTTTCAGTTTTTAACTGGGACTTGAAATATAACTACTGTATTTTAAGTTACAGGTATTTATAGAAACCATTTTCTTTTAATTTTTAATTTGATATGAAAAAATGCATGTAATATATAACTATATTAGTCCCTTTTATTACTATTTTATATACTGTCTGTATAGTTGTTACAATTATGATAATTAAAAAACAGACTTTATATTTTTTTACTACTGTTTTGTATGTTCCAAAGAAAATACTTTTAATATTCTAATCTCTAGCAAGCTAGTCTACCACAGTTCATGATGAACAATGTCTTTCGTCCGCCCATTTATCTAATATACAATTCTGCTTAAATCCAATTAACCGTTGACAAACGTATAAGAATAACTGGTCATCAGAGGTCTACTAGTTCATCGTCATTTGCTGCATTTCTTGCTTGGACGTCCCTTGATGTTTTGCATCAATGCTTTTCTTGTTATATCATGGTATACCATTTGCCACGAAACATGTTAAGGACATTTTGAAAGTCGATGAAAGTTTTCGTTTTGGCTTATTTCCATATGGATTGTTATATTTCTTACCATGATTTGTTGTTGCTATTCCTAGAAAAATGAGTAGCATTAAAGGTGAAAAAGAAAATGTACATGCTTTGATATTTTTATCATCTTATATTACTGACTACAATAGTGACGCAAATAGAACAATGTTTCACTACTGTCATATCACATTACATTCATAAGTCTTGTAAGCCTTGTTTTATTGGAATAACTTTCCTTAAAGTAGGAATCAGTGAAAGCATTTTTTAAATTTGATATCTGGCCCCTCTCTCATCGAAAGTGCGTACAATAAGTATAATTATGCAAAAAACGATCAACAAAACATCCGGAATAATGTACAATTGTACATAATCTGAATAGAACATGACATGTGCGTAGGAATTATTTGGTAAGGTATCTGTAATGAGCGCATTTTATGCGCGGAGCGTCTCAATTGCTGTATTGCAGCAACATTTGTACTTTTATCATAAGCCTTAACATTGAAAAATGTACCAGTCTAACAAGCATTGCCTTGTTTCTGGGAAGGCTTCTTCCCAGCTTGTATGCGTAGGCCGTAGGATGTTGTTGATATTTTAAATTGTGCACAATCATGCTGCCTAATATTTTCGCAACTTCCCGCATATACATTAAGGACAAGTTATTTGAGGAAAATATAAAATGTTTGACAGAAAATATCTGAATGTTTAACTTCCGTTACTGTCACTTCATGAAATATAAACAAGAAGAAAGAAAATATAATTTGATAAAATCAAGAACAGTAATACTCTTTAGTGTTTTCTATTCAATATCTATATAGCTGAATATGAGAAAAGTGCAACACCTTTTTTTATTCATTTTCACATTGTTTTTAAATAAGAAAACAGTAACGTTTTGAACTTGCTCACTTTAAGTATCCTCTGTTTTATTTTTTTTCATTAAAATGATCTTTTTGTGTCAAATATTCCGTATATATATTTCATATATAAGATCTCTTCTGCTTGCCAATATGTGTTATCAATGAATAACCGAGATCTAGAGCAGTAAAAGCCTTCATATTTAATCCTGTTAAGAAGTTTAACATCTATTACATTGACAATAAGGTGTATATTTTTGAGTCAAAGCAATTTTAAAGTCTGTCACATTTGGTGAGCATTTTTTTGTGACAAGTTGCCTTACATATTCTACTTATTGAAAAAAGTTGTTAAATAATCGATTTTATATCATTTTTTATATCATTTTTTCATACCTGAAAACAGCATAAATTTCTGGAATAACTGTGAAGTCTTGGACATCAAGTTACAGCAGCATTATAAACTGTCTTTCCTTTAAGCATTATAAGGTATACACGAAAACATGTTTAAAAACTATACGCATGAGCAATAACAAAGATTAAGACGAAAACAAATATAAAGCAGCACATGGAAATCGACATTAACTTTTGAAAAAGAAGAAATTTAAAAAAGGCATCAATATTATTCTTATTAAGCAAATCATTTCCATACACTTGCATTACGTGATGGTTTGTATGGCTGTTCAAGATATGTCAATTATGAAAAGAAGATTTAAATTATAAGGTCCAATTGACGACAATTTTATAGTATATCCCTTTTCCTTATTTCATACATGGATCTGCGAAAGATATATAGGAAATGTGTTATATAAGAGGATAGTCTCTGCATAAAAGTAAGTAGTAAGATTTCATGTATTCAATAAATCTACATGTTCAAAGTATTAATTAAAGACGAATAAAGTTCAAGAAATAGTAATGACGCTATTAAATTATAAATTTATATATTAATTTATTAATTAATTAATTTATTTATTTATTTATTTATATTTTATGTATTTTCTTTATAAAAAAATAGTTTAAAAATTAGTCTTTCTATAAAAGTATGCGGGACAATATTTTATTTTTCGTGATACCTGAAGTTGACGAAAGACCCTGTCAGACAATGTTGATTGAACCATGACTTGATTGAAAACAAACTGAGCATTGAAAATGCTAAGAAACAATTAGTTTACAATGTGTTTATTGAATCGGCAAGTACAATTCAAATAAAGTAAGACCCGTTGTCGCAAAATTTGCATTCGGTCACGAAAAGTAGTGGGTGCGTTAAAGCCATAATGCCCGAAAGAAGATGCTAAGAACAGGCGACAATTTGTAAAAAAAATTATATCTGCATTAATTTTATGAAATTTAAGAAACATGTTGTAAGAAGAAATCACACATTTGTATTCTTAAACGACATATTATCATTTAGTAAAGAAATTACCAGTAAAAACCATATCAACAAACAGTACATGTACTAGTATAAATACTGACGTTTCCTTTGACAACATTATCTCGTATTCATATGTGCAAAGCAGTCTTGAAAATGAGAATAATATACATATCGATAATAATGTGAATAAGCTATGGGAATTCTCTCGAATTCATAATTATGTTTAGCATATTAACAGAACGATGCTGTTTTATTATTCTTCTTTATTTAATTGGTTGCATCTTTTTGCTCAAAAATCAAAGTTATACTTCTGGTATGTCCTTTGTATAACAAGTTTAACATGAATGATGATAAAATTTATAAAACAGTTATTAGCAAGTAACAAAAGTAAAAGAAAAATCCCAATAATTATATCCGTTTTGCCTGTTTCAAAAAGTAAAAGAAGTTAAGAAATATCTCTTAACAGTTTTGAAACGAACTAAACCCGGATACATATATAACTACCCGATTAATCACTAGCAAATAAACCTTTTCAAAACTTCCTCGTTCAATATTGTGATTTGAATAGTTACGGAATGCAGCAGTGACTCCCTTTATGGCGATTTTAAATGTTATTTATAGACGCGAATATATTCGGATTGATTCGCTCGAAAAAAGATTAAAATCGCTTGTAACTCAAAAATATATTTTTTTCTTGAACCTATAAGAAAAAGTCTTACACTTTACCTTTGAAAGTAAATAATAATCTACTTTAGGACGATTTTAATTGTATTCAAGCATTAAACACATTATTTAAGTACTTTTAAATGTATAAAATAATTACGAACGCCCGGTGGTTACATTGAAACTTCCCATATTCAAGAATTAAACTCCATATAGCTGCTAGAATTCACGCTTTTCATTTCAGGAAACATGAACTCAACTTCATCATTAATTCGAGTTTCCAAACTTTCAACTTCATGAATTGACGATGTCGACCTCATTAATAAACGAGTTTTAAATGTTCGAATTTACGTTATTACAATTTCAACTTCATTATTGTAACATTTCAACCTAAAACAACACACATATACATCTTCAACTTAACTTTTGAACCCTTTCAAAAATCTATTGTATTTACTTCTCTTTTACTTGGGGACCATACGCCGCTCTTCGTGGAATGGCACTAAAGTGTCACATTGAAGGTTTCATGATAACCGCCGTATTAACTAGGGGGGGGGGGACATAGGCGATAACTTGCACTTTCCATTACCGCCAACGAACAGGTTCAATCAAACCGAGCCGAACATTTCAATTTTGTCGTTTTATGCGATCTTTAGGGATTCTTTATTTCTCTCTATTTTAACAAATTTGAATACAAGTACTTGTAAATAATTCGTTTAGTTAATTCACTTATTCGATATTATGGATTCAAAAATGTGAGTTCTGAAGTTAAATTTGTACATCCTTGAATTTCATAACACGAAATTCCCACAAGGCTCAAATTAATGAAGTTGAATAAATTCTGTTAAATCACATTTTAGTGAAATAATGAAGTAGTGGCAATTAAAAACGTAAATGCATGATATTGATATCAATAATATATGCATTCAATATGTAAAAACGGATAATTCTAAATTGTTAAAAGCTATTTCCCAATCAAGCTTAAATAAATGTAAATGTGTTTATTTCACGACGAAATGATAATGTTGAAATCGTTAATTCATTAGCGTTACATTTACGTTAATATGTCGCTATTGCAGCACTTTTAGAACGTCTTCAATGGCTGCATATGTTGGCACGTCTTAAATACCTCACAATGAGATTTATATACATGTAAAAAGTGGCAATTTGTGTACTCTTATGCATTACATGTAACCTGGAATGTGAATGAATAGTTATACTTTATTTTTATTTATGATTTATTATTATATTTTGTTTAATTTGTCGGCCGAAATTAGCGTTTTGCTTGTTCCAGCATTTAGGTGAAAACTGCAGGTTAAATCTGGAAAGCAGTGTGCTTAAACTAAAAAAGTCAGGAAATTCCTTAAAGACAAAGCATTTGTAACACTTATTATGATTATTTCTGAACATAATTTCAAACATATATATTTAGTAAAGTAAGAGTACAGAGAGTGAACAGGTGAAAGTCAAAATAAGTTGATATTTTGCTATAATTGCTATCAATTTTGGGCAATTAATTATCAAAATATTCGTCTGAAATTACCTATAACATATATAACATTTACAAAAGGAGTTCGGCAGTCTTCATATGTTTGAGGTAGGTTTATATTGTATCCTTATCATGTTCCAGTATCAACTGTTGGACAATCACTATTATCTTCTAAAATATATGAATTCAGTCATCTCAACATAACAATAAACATATAATCATACTGTTAGTAAAAGGATACAGAGGTCAGTTATGCACGATATAGATGTGATAATAAATATAAATAAATAGTTTATATCACGTAAAGGTACATGTACGAACTAGAGATCATTATTAACAGAATGTTCACGATTATTTTTTTATAGATTACTTTTAGAAGTTCAGAATAGTCTTTTCAAATTAGGGTTTAATCGATATGTACTGTGTTGCGTTGTCTTTCTATTGACAGACCAATGCTCGCTTTCTAGTATTTATTCATAATGCTTATCAGGTCCTATAATTATATTAATCTATGAACATTTTGAATCAATATTTTACGTAAGAAAAAGTTTGTTTTACAATAATTATTATATCCAATATATACGTGTTTATAGAAACCGGTATATACATACTCGAACCCCTATATTATATTGAAAATATATATCTGCCAGATATCCATCTTTGCATCCTTCAGTATATGTATTCATGTTTCCGTTAACATATCTAACTTATTTTAGGTTTCGCCCAGAAGCTTTGCATTCACCCATTTTAAGACTATCCATATGCATGTCCACATATTCTTTTATTGTCCCTTTCTGTACATAATGGATGGCTAACTTAACTACATTCTGCTAAAATAATGTCACCATTGCAATGTAGACAAATATTTTTATTTTCTCTTGAGCATTTGAGTCTTTGTTTTCTACAGGCGCAGGGACGGTAACTTGCACTTTCAGTTCCATAAATATATAGGCTTTTTGCCGTTTTTCTTCAGGGAATCAGTTTTCATTGCCATCAAACTATGAAAACTATCGTTGCATAATTAGCATGTTCTGACATCCGAACAATGATTGCAATTTTGACGAACAAATTTTACATACCGATTTTAACCGTTTTAATACTGATAATACCCAAATCTACAACTTGCAAGCATGTACGTAAATATAAGCATATAGAAAACAGGCTTTTGTTGGTAACAATATACAGGATCCTCTATATATTTATTTAGACAATTATCATCACAGGTAAAAGTTTAACTTGCATGAATACCATATCATTCTGTTTACATGAAATACAGTTATTGAAGCAATGTTTACAATCCAAATAAGACAATGAACAAACACAAATTTGATAAAAAGTAAGATTATCATTACTAAAACATGTCGAACATGTGATCAAGATTAGCAGCATTCAATGCATAAGACCTGTCCAAATTTTATCAGTCTAATTTGTAGGTAAACAGAATAAATTGATTGGGAACTATCATACAAAAGTATTTACGATCAAATACTTTATCAACAAACAATTTTAGTATATTAAATTATATAGTTTTGAAGAGCAATGTTATACATGTTATATGCACACATTATAAAAAAAAATGTAAACTGTGCTGTTATTAGATATAAGTATAAATTTCATATTGTAAATACAGGATTAAAATATTCGAGAAAAAACGTTTTATATTAAGAATAACAAGGTACAATAATTTTGAAAAGCACATTAATCGTATTTTACATGTTAAAACATTGCTAGAAGGAAATAGAGTTTCATCCCCTAATACAACTAGCTTATAGTGAATATAAGCCGTTTTCGAAGTGATTATACATGTAAAAGCCTTTAGGGTAGTAAAAATATGCATCAATGACCCCAGAAACTACAAATTCAGTCTATCTGTAACAATTGATTCTGTTGTTTTCACAAGTTAATCATTAAAACTCATTTCTCTTACGTCTATGACAATGTCAATCCGAGATCTGAAAATAAACAAATACTACTAGTAATTAAATAGACATATGATATAAATAAATAAATAAATAAACAAAAATTAAATAAACAAATAGATAAATAAATGAATACATAATTCATTAAATAAATAAATACATAACATAATATACCATTAAATAATTAATTAATTAAAAAAATAATCATTATAAATAAATAATTATTATGAACAACAATAATGACATAAAATACTTAAAATTATCATAATTCAAGATAAATCAAGTAAACACATTGCAATTACCATTGTATACATTATCCGAGGTCCTGTTATTACTCAAACTCTCGTAATTATTAGTCACTTCAGCTGACTCAGCATTTACAGCGCCGAAATCAGTTCTAGTGTTATAATATGTTGGAATCTCAGCGTTTGGTTTGTTGTCTGTGGGCGTTTTACTTGCAAGATACCTGTATTAAATAACAGAATTTATAATTCAATTATACATTATTATATAAGTCGATTTTAAAGTAATACGTAAAAAGCAAACCAGTGATCAACCGACACAATTAACTTCAAAGTACAAACGTATCAATTTAATCATTAAGAACATCATTTACATTATGCTTATTATTATTTTTATTATCATTATAATTATTATTATTATTATTATTATTATTATTATTATTATTATTATTATTATTATTATTATTATTGTTTTCATTAAATTCATCAGTAAACATGCCTTCAAGACAAGCATGTTGTATAGTATAAAATTTGTAAATAAACATTCACCTTCGTCTTATAAGGTATAACAATAGAGCAAATACTTCTATGGCAACACAAGATCCGAATCCAGAGAAATATATAATGGCAAAATTATTAACTTTATCTTCACACCGTGCACATGATTGTTGTTGTGTTTCAGGTTCGGCTGATGTTGTTGTTGTTGTTGTTGTCACTGATGTTTCTGTAGATATTACATTGACGTGTAATAGACATAACCCTAACTATAGTCTAATGATTGTAAACTGCACAAACATTCGTCTATATCAAGTCAGCTCGCGCAGATTAATCGGTTACAACGTTATCTCAACATTGAGGGTTCGATTCCTGAGCTGGCCAACTAAAATGACTAGAATGATCACTGATCAATATCTCTTATATGCTACCATAATGCAAGTAAATGGCGAAACATAATTACTATATATCTATGTTTGAGTGAGAATAAGTTAGTAGTCATTAGTGCGTGTTATATCATATGCATATTGTTACTTTACACGAGTAAAAACCATCAAAAGTATTAACTACTTCGTGTGCACGTAATATTTACCAACGTTCATAATATTACTAACACGTGCAAAGAAGGCAAATATAGTAATTTCAATATCCCTTTTACGCCACCATAATAAGGGCGAATAATTATATATATGCAATATTTATGAATTTGATTTAAACAATGTGAGTTACTTATAAATTAATTATTTTGAAATTAATTGATGATAGTCATCGTATGCAGATTGTTTACCGATTGTGATAGTTTGAGTACATTTATCTCCGGTCAGTCCATCCTTACACCCTTCTGTACATGCACCGTTGTTTCTATCACATTTAAGATCTTTACATCCACCAGGACAAGGTTGCTCACAAGTATCGCCCCAAAATGTTTGGTTACATCCGTTTAGACAATATCCGTCTGCATGTCCACATGTATGTTTACCACTTATTACTTTACATGACGGGCTACAGGCTATACTGCAATCGGTTGAGTAAAAATTACCAACACACGTTAGACAACTATTTCCGTTATCTTTTGAGCACTTTAAACATTTGCTTTCACATATTTCGGAACATTTCTCACCAGTCCAGCCCTCTTTACATTCTCCTTGACATATTCCATTACTATCACAATACGTAGAACATTTTTCTGGGCACAATGATGTTTGTGATACGCATGTTTTACCATTAAATATTTGTCCTTTTGGGCAATCAGCGCAGACTAACGAATCATTGTGTATTTGATACTGGTTACAACCTTGAATCATACAATCCGGACACTGCGTTTCTTGCAAGCATGACACACAGTGAACGTTGTCATTTAACTTATAGAGGTGAAAACCATTATTGCAAATATAACATGTTTTACCATCCGTACAATGTTTACAATTTGAAGGACAACTTTGACATATTGTATCGACACCAGTTTTATATTCATAATATCCAGCTCTACAACCACTCGAACATTTACGTAAGTCACAACGTTCATTGGCACATAAACTACAGTTCAGCTGACATTGAAGTCCATAGAAACCAGGTTTACATTGAGTACAATATCCAGTATTATCATCGCATTCACTATTTAGACAATAACCACCACAGTTGAAAGTACATTTTGCGTGTAAACCATATTTATTTGGCTTACATAAAGTACAGTCGTCCCAGCTGTTACAGTTTTCACAATCTTCGGCACATGGTGAACAGAAGCCATTTGTTAAAAAGTAAGATGATTCACAACTTGTGCAATTTGAACCAGAACATAATTTGCAGCCAACAGAACATTCTGTAAATAGGTATTTTATCATATTTATAAATTTGTACTTATATATATTCATTTATATTTCGGAATATATAAAGTAAAGGAAAATAAATATGCTAAGTCAGATTTCATACATATTACGTATATATAAAACATTTAAATGTGACCACAAGAAAATCAAATAAAATTTAAAAGGATAAAATATAATGTCATTTTTTTAGAAACATTAAGGTTAAAATTAAAAAAAAAACATGGTGTACCTAAAATTGACACATTAGTATTCTTTAAGTACAAATAGTCATGAAGTATAAACACTTACGAGTAAATACCATATCAACGAGCAATATTAGTATGAATGCTGACGTTTCCTGAGACAACATTATTCCGTATTCAAATATGAAGACCAATCTATGAACGAGAATAATATATATATACCGATAATAATGTGATCAACGCATAGGCGTTTCGCTCATATATGTTACGCTTTAACCATGACTAAACGATGCTAGTTTTATAAACCTTCATTTCTGTGGTTATACGTATCTCCAAGCTCAGTACTAATGATGTGTCACATGTATTAGAAGTTTAAGATGCACTATAAAAGAAAAATTTAATAAACATGTCGAATGTATTATAAAATTAAGTTACAGTGTATTAAGGTAGCAAAGAGTCTTGCATAATTTTACTGAAACAAATATAACAATACTGTTATCCGTCATTCCTGTTTAGAAAAGCGCATAAGAAGTTAAGAAATATCACTTAAAATCCCTAAAACGAACAAAATATATAATAGATGTATATAACTACCCGATTATTCACTACAAAATAAATCTGATTAAAACTTCCTCGTTTAAAGTTGTAGTTTGAATAGATACGGTATGCATCAATGACTCCTTTTATAGCGATTCTAAATGTTATTTTAAGACGCGAAAATATTCGGATTGATATGGTCGAAAAAAGAAAAAAATCGCTTATAACTCAAAAACTGTTTTTTCCTTGCAAGAATAAGAAAAAATAACTTAAATTATACCTGTGAAAATAAATAATAATTTAGTGTTTGGTGATTTGAAATGTATTCAAGCATTAAACATATTACAACAGTACTTTAAACGTATAACATATTTACGAAAGCCCAGTGAAGACATCGAAACTTCCCATATATATTCACAAATTAAACATGCAGTTAATATTTAAGCTAAAAGAATCCACGCTTTTAATATTCAACTTCACCATGTTTTCGAGTTTCCAAAATTTCAACTTCATGAATCTACGATGTCAACCTTATTCGCGATTTCCAATGTTCGAATTCACGTTATCACATTTCAACTTCATAATTGAATGATTTAAAATCCAATTATACACAAATTCACATTCTTCAACTTAACAAATTAAATTCAAGTTCTCGTAAAGATGAAAAAGTGAATTCAAGAAAATCAAATTCAGTAATTTGATTTAGTAAATTTATGAAGTTGTATTGTAAAGTTGAAATTGAACAATCATGTATCTGAAAACGCCAGATCGTAAGACTCGGGGCGTAGGGCTCAAATCTTGAAAATAAATTAATACAGTTGCTATCACGTTTTTGTAATGTTAAAATCGTGAAGTAATGGCGCTGGAAACGTAAACTTATGTAGTTAAATATTCTAAATTGTCAACATTAATTGATATAAGTTGTGAGAACTTGTTTTGCAGTCGAGCTAAAATAAATACGTTTAAACCAATATGTTTAAATTGCGACGTCATGCAGTCGTGAATTTATTAGTCTATCTCCGCTATTTTAGAGCGTTTTTCAATGGCTAAATACGTTGGCTCGTTAAAATTACCTCACTTTAAGATTTTGTTTTTGTAAATTAAATTCCATCTTTAATTTCATGCCAATTATACATGTGTACTATAATGTAAACAAATTATAACTGCCAGCTGAAATATAAATACATGTGTATGGAAATGAATTGGCATTTGTTTGGTTTAACGGCCGATATTCGCTTGTTTGCTTGTTATTCAAGGTGAAAATTAAAGGTTTACACAGTGTTTAAAACTAAGATTAATATAACAGGAAATATATATAGTCACAAAGGACAAATCACTTGTACCAGTTTTGATTTTGTTTCTGAATATGGTTTCAAATGAACACAGAGGTTCTGGTCAGTTGTTCATGATGTAGACGTGAAACTAAGTTCATTAGGGAAACTTGTATATATATATATATATACATGTATATGTCTCCCCTTTAACACAAACATATATTTCGCCTGGTAGCGCTGCACAAAAGCTACGAGAGACCGTTTATTACACCAAAAACATACAATTGTATCAATTTTTGTGACATTATATGTATACATATTATAATGCAGTGACATTTACAGTATGTTAAAAGATCTCTCAATAATAAACATCCGCGTCATCGGGAAACACGACGTCCAGGAAAACAAACAGAGAATGTTACTCTGATAAAACCTGTGTCCAGTTTAACAAGTTCAGTGCCTTCCTCAGCGGCGTGTGTGGACTTCGCACGAAATATTAAATAATATAACATGAATGGTCTAATAACCTTTCAACTAAAACATATCCTTATAACAACATTTCATCAAAGTTTACCTTTAATAACCACTATTTATTTATTTATTTTTAAATTTATGAACTTGAAATTTTAAAGTGTTTATTAGCAGTGGTGCACGCTAGAAACTGATACATGTAATTCTACCTATCCCAATGTTATCATACCATTCATTTCGATTGGTCAGTTTGTAACAAAGCAATCAAACATTGGTCATGTGACTTATTCAATCGTAACGTGCAGACATAACTTTACCGCTATACTACATAACGCGGTAAAGTAAAAAATATATTTATATCACGTGTAAGTGCACGCAAAAACTGAAGAGCCTAGTTGACAAAATATTTCAGGATAGATCGGATTATTAATTTCTAAATTCAAAATTCACCATTTTCTTGTATAATTGCTGAATTCAGCCGTTGCTTTCGTATAAATAATAAAATAATTAATATTTCGTAATTACGAAATAACATTTCGTTTTTACGAATTAATATTTCGTAATTGCGAATGAATATTTCGTAAAAACGAATAAATATTTCGTAATTACGAATAAATATTTCGTAATTACGAATTAATATTTCGTAATAACGAATAAATATTTCGTAATTACATAATAATATTTCGTAATTACGAAATAATATTTCGTAAAAACGAATTAATATTTCGTAAAAACGAATTAATATTTTGTAATTACGAATTATTGTTTCGTAAAAACAGAGTTACTGTGCTGTTGTTGTAGCTAGTGTTTCTGCAGAAAGGATTCTGTAGGTTAATAATTATACTAATACAGATAAATTTTCCAATATGAGCATCATACATGTAGTTAACATATTTATTTTTCAAAAATTCATATTCACTTTGTTCAGAACTTTTCCAAGTGAACGTATTGAATTTTATATATTTAAAATGAAATATAGGTATAAAATCCAAAGATATAGTAATTACATGTATATATGTTCAACAAGTAGTTACCAAATATGATCTGAATCTTTATATAGTTTTTCATATCCAGTTTAAAACCAAATGGAAAATGTTTTATTATCATTACAGACATAGACATTGTTTTATAATTTTATAAACCGTGTCTTGAAAAACAAATAATAAAGTCTAGGAATTCGTTGCTTTCAATAGTTTATAATTGCAATCCATTCCTCTGTTATCTATGTCAGTGCTGTGTTTAGATCTGGAAATAAAATTAGTGTATTTGTAACTAGTTTGAGTTTTGCATGCATATGATTAATAAAGTTTTGCAGAAGGCAATTAAAATATTACAAATATGGTAATTATTTATGATTTTGTGACTATTGCAAGTAATACCATACCGAAAACATAACAGTTACCATTGTACACATTATCTGTGACCCTGTTGTTGCTTAAACTCTCGTAGTTGTTAGCAGCATTGTCTGACTCCACATTCAAAACCAGTTCCCTTGTTATAATAGGTAGGGATCTCACTATTACTTATGCTATCTTGGGGATTTTTAAGTTTAAAGTACCTGTAAAATAATCATAATTTTTAAAGTAATACATAGTTGTCACATTGACTGTTTTCAAACAAAATAAACCGTTAAAACGTTTAAAAGAATTAAAATAAAGAACATTACATTCAATACAACATTATCAACAATAATTTGTTATACATTACGGGCGCATATGTTATATTGTATTACCTCCATCTTATAACAGACATCAAAACAGCAATAAGAACTATGGCAGCAACAGATCCAGTTACATAGAAATAACCAATGGTAAAATGGTTCACTCGATCTCCATGTCTTACGGATAGATTTTGTTGTGTAGCAGTTATTGCTGGTGTTCTTGATGTCCCTGTCGTAATATTGCAGAAGGTCAATATACATTATAGAATAACGAATAACGTCGTGATGGTAAACGAACATGTTTTAGTAACACAACATAAGCCGTATTAAAATTGGACAAAGACCTGTCAAAAATCATTCATTTATAACTTTCATTGAAAAAACATCTTCACCAACAAATAGTGAGAATTATACACAGTTACGTAACAATGTGTGTGCTTAAAATGCAAGCACGTATCTGTTCGGACCAAAAGCTTTCCATATCAATCTGATAAATTACTTCAGAATCGAATGAGATAAAACACAGAAGAACAATTGAAATATTGTCTTAATATGTATTACAATTTAACTTATGTATGTTTTCAAATCAAATGTTTTTACCAACATCTGCTTCATGTGACTGACTGCAAACTAAACTGCAATCGATTGTGTAAAAATTACTCTAACATGCCGACAAAAATTGGCATTAATTTTTTTTAAGTATCTGTCTTTACATTTGTCGGAGCATTTTCAACAAGCCAGCCATCATGATATTCCCCATGAAATATTCCACACATGTTGCGATTAAAGTTTTGTCTCTCTAGACAACTTGTGTAGACTAAAAATTTATTAAGGAAATAGATATCAATTCTGAGTGAATTGTTGTAGAATAATGCACGGTTTGAGTTCAAATGTGTAGGAATATAATTACGTACACCGATATGCCTATATTATTGATTACAAAGCATTTGAACGAACAAAAATTGCATTATTGTACAATAATGTACGAAGAATTAATATCTATTTCCATTCTAACACGTCAAAAAAATATAGTTGGACTATATTGTTTGCTGGTCAAATTTATTTTCGCCTCAGAGTTTCCAATAGAAACGTTCTTTAAAGGCTGTTCCAGTCGGTTGGAAAATTGTCGTTAAGTCTACAGTTTTCAGGATAATGCATTTTGAAAACGTTGATGAAATTTGTGTGTGTTTATTTCATTTCACTTTATATTTTTCAAGCGAAATACAGAGTATTTATAGTGAAATAAATGTGAAATTGAACTGGTTTGCGACATTGAAATAGCGTTCTTGTTTGCACTGTTTGGCGGTACATTGTGACGTCAAGTAAACAACACTTCAAACTAATGTACAGAGTAAAAGACTGAATTAAAGATTTTGGTGTTCGAATTTATTTTCTTAATTACCCCATTTTCTATCATTCTAGATTTTTGTTTTCAGAACAAAATTCACCAAAAGGTTGCTTTTTATCAGATTTCTCAAACAAGATGGCGCCGTCAATGTGTCATTTTAAAAATACGGAGGGAGGAAATAAGAATGGCAAGGGGTTTATTGTAAAATATATCACGCTTATTTGTTTATATATTAAAGAGATATCTCCGATTGTGTTAGAATTTGTACCAACGTCCCATAACACATCCCGAACATTGCAGTTCATGCTTACATGACTCACAGGGGACAATATCTTTATAATTGTAGCTATAGTTACACGTTTTCCCATCTTTACAATGTTTAAAATTGGAAGGACATATTTTACAAACGTTTTTAACACGTGATGTAAACTCATAATTCAT